CAGTTGATTGTTTACCTTTCCTTATGTCAGCTATGTGTTCATCTATTCTCACGCCTAAATTTCTCTTTGTTGTGCCAATATAAACTTTACCACACTCTTCATTGTCCCCACCATCACATCTTATTTGGTACACAACATTGTTTTGTTCTCTATTTTCAATTTTTGTTTTTGTTTGTGTGAATAGTTGTTGTATTGTCTTATTCGATTTGTATGCAATAATTATTTGTTTCTCGTTCATTATGTCCCTTATTTGTTTGTTCTCTGTTAATTTTGGTATAAACGGTATGCTGTAATATTTAGTGTTGCCAGATGTATCCTTATCTTGGTTATTACTTGGGGAATTAATTTTGTTCTCAACTTTCCTTATTAATGTGGTGATCAACCCATGTGGGAAGTCATTTTTGCGTAAGATATCTCTTATCCTTATCATATTATTATCCCTGAACTGTCTGTCACTAGTCTTTATGACTTTATCAATTAAGTTCATTGCCGTATTCATCTTCTGTTTCATAGGTTGTGTTGAGTGAAAGTTCATCAGTCGTCCAGAAGCAATTGGTTTCATGTACCAATCTGTTACTATCCTGCAATTTTTCCGGTATAATTTCATATCCAGGTATGGTAATGAGTTCTCATGTTCCCTTTCCAGTGTAAATTTCAATCTGTTATGGTAGGAGTTAAAAGTTTTCAATATGTCATCCTCCTCATTGTATTTTATAATAGCAAATAAATCGTCAACATATTTTGTGATAAGTCGTATATTTATATTCTTGGCTTGTAATTCCTCTATACATTGTTCTAGTAGACAGTCCAGTATAATGTCAGCTATCGTTGGAGATAATGGGTTGCCCATTGGCATGCCATAAGTTTGGTGGTAAAATATTCCATCATGCATAAAATAGTTGTTGTCATTCAAGCAAAATTGTAATATTCTCAAAAATTGCGACCTAGGTATTTTCGTGTGGCTCTGTAATTTATCCCATTTCGACATAATGTTATTTATCGCTAGGTGTATGGGTATGTTCGTGAAAAGTGACACCACATCTAATGATATTAGGATCTCATCTTCGTCCAATGTTAGCGTATCCAATTTACTCTTCAATTCCAAGGCGTTTTTAATGTTATATTTTTCCAATATAATGTTTTTCAGTATGTTCCCAATATATTTCGATAATTCGTAACACGGTACTCCTATTGATGAAGATATTGGTCTCAGTGGAGTGTTTGGTTTATGAATTTTTGGGAGTCCATATAATCTTGGAGCTGTTGCCGCATTGGATGTCAATTTTATCTTATCATATCTATTTATATATTCCCTTTTGTATAGGTTCGTTATGAGAGCGTTGTTAGCTCGTTGTAGTTTTTGTGTCGGATCTGTCGGTATACGTTTATATGTGATCTTATCCTCAAGTAACTTCCCCATTCCATTGTAATACTCTTCTCTGTACATTAAAACTGTTTTATTCCCCTTGTCCGCTTTCGTTATAACAACTTTATTCTTATATCCTCTCAAGAATTTCCTCGTATCCTCATAAATGTTCAATATATTGTTAGGAAATTGAATTTGCATTTAAACTAAACGGTTTTTAACGGCCAGTTCCCGAAATTTCTTAGCGACTAACATTTGGGTGGCATCACTAAGCGTTGAAGAGGTGTGTGTCTCCACTAAACATTGACTTACATCAGTAGAAGTATCTAGATGATGGAGCCAGAATAAACTGGAAATATAAAGAAGGTGATGCCCATGTATAAATAGCGGTGGCAATCACCAAATGAGTCAGTCTGTAATAAATCGTCATTGAGTAAAGTTAATAAAGTCAAGTGTGCTTTCGTGTGTTAAAGATAAAAAGACAGCCTTACAGTCTACTATATAAGTTGTGTTATAAAAGTATTTGTGTATAAAACTGTGTAAATAAAGAGTTGTTGTAGTTTTTAACAAATTGACGCTTTTATTTGCAATAAGAAGAATCCAGTTTATTTCAAAAGGTACATACGAATTCGAGTACAAAGAAGAAACTGAGATATGTACTCGCTCAACAACGAGCAACATGGACTTAAACACAATGTTTGCCGCTATGATGGAGAAATTTGCTGAAGTTCAAGAAACTTCTAAGGCTAACTACGAGAAACTTCTTACTGACAACGAGAAACTTCTTACTGACAACGAGAAACTTCGAGCTGAGGTTAAAGCTGAAGTAAAGGAAACTTTTAAACACTTAGCTGAAATGGAAGCAAAATTTCAGGAAAGTTCAAGAGCCACAGAAGAAAAAATTCTGGAAGTGTCTGAGGTTATTAATAGCAGAGTAGATGGCATTGACAAAAAGGTGTCAGACTTAGAAACAAAGATGAATAATCTGCAATATCAAGAAGGAGCTGTGCGAATCATTCCAGAAACCTCGAGTAGAATAAAAGCCCCTAGTTTTGATGGCACCACACCTTTTAATGTGTTCAAGTTCCAGTTTGAGACAGTTGCCATCAGAAACATGTGGAATAATGAAGAAAAAGCTATAGAATTGATCTTAGCCTTAAAAGGAGGTGCTTCAGTAGTTCTTGAGAGCGTACCAGTGAGCAACAGAAATAATTATGACGACTTAATGGAAGCACTACAACGCAAGTACGGTGGAGAACATAAAAAGGAATTATACCGAATGGAATTGCGTGGCAGAGTGCAGAAGGCCAATGAGACACTACAAGACTTTGCATTGGAAATCGAGCGATTGATACAGCTTACTTATCCAGGAGAACATCACCCGTTTTTGGATATTTTCAAGATAGAGGCATTTGTAAATGGCATACGTGATCCTGAGATAAAACATGCGGTTTGTGCCACACCAAAGCCATCATTCGCTGAAACTGTCTCATTTGCGCTGGCACAAGAAACGGCTAAAATAATTTCAAAGCCACAAATATTCAAGGTACGAAATGTCGAGGTTGTCGCTGAAAACGAAAGGAATATAGTCACTGAGATAAAAGAGGCAGTTTTAGAGGCTTTAAATGAGAAACAAAATAAAGCCAAAATCAAATGCTATAACTGTGGAAAAACCGGACATATTCAGCGAAACTGCAAAGCACAAAGAAAACGTACCAGATCGGTCTCACCGCCAAGAAACAACCAACAGGTAAATCATCACTCATCACAAGAATCACCTTTAAATTAAAACGAGCTAGCACTGAGGGGCAAGAGCTAGCTCCCACATCTGACGGCCCCACAATCTCCATATCAGTAATGCAGCAGAAAAATAGTAATCTAACTGCTGGTGGATACATCAATGGTCGAAAGCACATTTTTACTATAGACACAGGAGCGTCGCAGTCTATTATTAGACCAGATTTAGTTAAGAAAACAATTGAACCACTATGCGGGGTAAGATTACGCACCGCCACTGGAGAGCCTGCCACTCTCTATGGTAAAGTAAATGCGAAAGTAAACATTGCCAACATAAGCGTAGATCATTTATTTATTGTTGCTGATATCGTGGATGAGGTAATCATTGGTGCAGATTTCATGATTATGCATGGCATTAAATTACATTTGGGACCAAATGTTATGATTTGGCGAAATGTTGAAATACCTCTTGATGTCGGATATCAAAGCAAGGCTGAGGTAAAAGAAAGCGTCATCGATGTTCGGCTAACCCATATAGATTCCACTGAAGATTGGTCTGAAGCGCAAAGGGATGACCCCTTACTGGCAAAGATAATATCGGCTAAAGAAGAAGGTAAAAGACCAGCCCGCAATGAAATATCTGCAGAAAGTCCATTAATGAAATCCTATTGGGCTCTATGGAATAGTCTACAAGTGTTAAATGGCTGCCTATACCGAATATGGGAAAGTGCAGACGGAAAAACGGTGACAAATCTAATTGTGGTACCTGCCTCTAAAATAAATGAAGTGTTGAAAGAGTTCCATGACGGTCCAAGTGGTGGACATCTTGGTGTGACGAAAACCATAGAAAAGGTAAAACAACGATTTTATTGGGTCGGTTATCAACAATCGGTAGCCGATTGGATTTCAAATTGTCCACAATGCATAGCAGCCAAAGGTCCAGTAAGAAAAAGTCGTGGACGACTTCAGCAGTACAACTCAGGTGCGCCATTTGAGAGGATTGCAATGGATGTAGCAGGCCCTTTCCCTGTTAGTGATGCCGGAAACCGTTATGTTCTAGTGGTGATGGATTATTTCAGCAAATGGCCAGAGGTGTATGCTATTCCCAACCAGGAAGCCAAAACAGTCGTAGGTGTGTTTGTGAACAACTGGATATGTCGTTATGGTGTACCATTGGAGTTACATTCGGACCAGGGCAGAAATTTTGAATCCGCTGTGTTCAAAGAAATGTGCGATTTATACGGAATAAGAAAAACAAGAACAACTCCACTGCATCCTCAATCAGATGGCATGGTCGAAAGATTCAATCGCGCACTGGAGGAATATTTGAGAAAAGTGGTTAGTGCACATCAGAAGGACTGGGATGAACACATACCAAAATTTCTGCTGGCCTACCGAACAGCCGTTCACGACTCCACCTCTCGAACACCTGCAAAAATTATTTTCGGAACAGAACTCAAGCTGCCTGGTGATTTAGAATTTGGTATAAAGCCGTCATCAAAAAGTAAGGATGATGAAAACTTTTCCCAAGAGCAAGATGACCTTAATGAACTTCATGAATTCGTGCGGAGACGAATAAAAATGACTAGTGATAAAATGAAGGCCAGATACGATCGAGCAGTAAATTCTGAAGGATTTACCGAAGGCCAGCTAGTACTACTGTATAGCCCACAACGTAAAAAGGGTTTATCCCCTAAACTGCAAACTCACTGGGAAGGACCGTATGTGGTGATTAAGAAATTAAACGTATTACCGAATACAGAAATATAAGAGCCCGAGAAGCAAAATGAAGGTTGTACACCTAGAACGACTAGCTGCCTATGGGAAAGGAGAATCTGTGCCTATTCGGGACGAACAGGCTTAAGCGGGGGACAGTGTTACGAAATTGAATTTGCATTTAAACTAAACGGTTTTTAACGGCCAGTTCCCGAAATTTCTTAGCGACTAACATTTGGGTGGCATCACTAAGCGTTGAAGAGGTGTGTGTCTCCACTAAACATTGACTTACATCAGTAGAAGTATCTAGATGATGGAGCCAGAATAAACTGGAAATATAAAGAAGGTGATGCCCATGTATAAATAGCGGTGGCAATCACCAAATGAGTCAGTCTGTAATAAATCGTCATTGAGTAAAGTTAATAAAGTCAAGTGTGCTTTCGTGTGTTAAAGATAAAAAGACAGCCTTACAGTCTACTATATAAGTTGTGTTATAAAAGTATTTGTGTATAAAACTGTGTAAATAAAGAGTTGTTGTAGTTTTTAACAAATTGACGCTTTTATTTGCAATAAGAAGAATCCAGTTTATTTCAAAAGGAAATAAACGAACGTTTTAAAAGGTAAAACGTAACAATATATTTCTCCTTTTCATTGTTCCTCTTAGTTCTCCTATAAGTCATAATTCTATTGGCTATCTTCGATCTGGTAATATCCTTTTCTCTATCGTCCGTAATTGTTTGAACCCATTGCTCTATATCTGCTATTAATCCGATTGTCGAAAATTTATTGTCTATTGGTAGAGCAAATTTTGAGCCAAGAGAGAGTATCCATTGGCTTTCTTCTGGAATATTTAATGATGTTTTGTTGATAAACCAGTCTGGATTAAATTTTATGTTAAATTCCGTAAATTTGTCTCTCTTCAAGTGTTCGATTTTAGATGTAAGTGTCCTTTTATTCATAATTGAGTTCTTTTTATATCTCGCTTTTTGTTTCGTCATGAATTCTCCGTATTCCCTTGCATTCAGTGATCTGTTAATCATTTGTTCGCTTTCTCTCATCTCATCTTTTAGATCACTCAATTTATAGTTTGTCTCCTTAATTTCCAGATTCAGTATCTTCATGTGAAATTTTCGTTCAATTCTATCCAGATCCCTCGATATCCTCGTCGACGTAAACAACTGTCTTGTGATCTTCGTTGTGTTATGTATATGTTTCGGTGTAAGACCCCTTTTTCTGCATGTCAACAGATATTTTAGTCTTTCTGTCTGTTTACCTAATTTATTCATATTCCTACAGTACTTTTTGAGTAACAAACAGGTGTCCACATTGTATCTTCGCTTAATGTCTTCAAAAAAGCTCATGTTGCTGCTCTTAAACTCAATTCTATTACAATTCCATGATTTATTGAACATTACAAACGCCATTTTCTTTATATTTTTATAGCGCTTAGCGATATTTAGTAATTTGCATGTAGATTTAAGGATTTTCAAAATAAATATATATCATTTTGATCTACACAAATTGATAATGCAACTAATAAATACGATTAAAGCGCTTTTAGGGGCAGGACATAGTATTGGAGATATGACCTATTATAGACCGATCGTAAAAAATTCTTTAAGCTAAATTTCTGTTCATAACAGCTATATTTCAGTCAAATTTTGTATCTATATCGTAATTTAGTAATAAGTCATGTGTGTTTAAGTGATTTTCTGAAGGGAACCTTGTATGGGACCGACCGCACCCATGTTATGAACCGATAGTGAAAAAATCTTGTAATAGAATTTTTGTATACAAAATTAATATTTGGGCCAAATTTTTTATCAATAGCTTTATTTGGTAATGAGTAATGTGCGTTTAAGAGATTTTCGTAAAAGGACCTTGTATGGGATCTCTGACCAATTATATATATAAAGACAAAATTTCAAAATTCTGTATATACAGTGTCTCACATAAATATTCGAATTTATTATTTTTTATGAATTACTGTGTTATTTTATGATGCTATTTTAAAAATAATAATAGTACTTAAAATTTGTTAATGAAATTTTATTAAATTTTATTATTTTTACGAAATACAAGAAAAAAGTAATAAAAACTCATTAATGGTTTCCAAAAAAATGGAAAAAACCCAAAAAGGGTCATTTCAGGTACTGCGCAAAATTATTCGAATTTTTTCTGAGAACTCTTTTAGAATCCTTGAACACGTGTTTTATTGCCCATTAATACACCCATTATGCAGGTAGTGGTTATATGGAATATTTAACATTATATTTTTTGGAAAATTGCATAATTATGTTGTAAATCTTTCATGTGTAAGCGCTTAAAATGTTAAAAGAAAAAGAGTTGATCAATTCAAATTAAAAAATAAATTTATATAAGTATAATCAAGGTCGATCAATTAAATACATATAAGAAATGTTTGATAGATTCCCATCGACAATATATTTTGTCATTCCACGCATGGAACAAAGAATTCCATCAAGTATTTACCATTATCAAGTCGTCCAAAACTGCTGTCAATACAGGACGACATAGAAATACTGAGGAAATACCGAAGGAACCTTCATCTATCAGCTCCAAAAATTAACAACGAACTCAGGACAGTCCTGTGAATAAAAATTAGTGTCGAAATTGTGCGCAAAGTACTAGGGGGCAATAATATGCATGGTCAAGTACTTAGGTGGAAACCGCTCATATCGAAGTTAATCGATGTTAAGTGTCTTGACTCCGCAAATAGACTCATAAGTAAGAATATTGGATTCTGGAAGGAGGTTATCTTCGACGATGAGAACAAATATAATATTTTTGGCCCAGATGGTCGTCAAATGATATGACGAAAGCTTGGAGATGCCTTGGAATTATCCAACTGTAAAGGACCCAAGTTGCTGTCATATTTTGGGGTTCTGTGTGTCCGTCCACGGTGTAGACTAGAAGGCCAACTTGTCAATTTTAGAGCAGAATTTGCATGCTAGTACCACCAAAATGGGGCTACAACCCATTCAATTTATTATCAACAGAAAAACCTTCCAAAATACACGACCTGGTACGTGAAAATGTTGATCATTTACAACACTAAGTATCTTCTTTCATCAAATTTTCAATGAAGTTAATGACTGGACTTAAACTCTTTTGAAAATTTGTGGTTATATTTACAAAAACAACTTTAAAATCACACATTATCCTCCAAAACCACCATACGGTTGCTTTGCATGAAGAATGGGACATAATAACGCCAGAACTATTCCATAAATTGGTAGAAACAGTCACACGTCGCTTGGAAGTTGTTTTTAAAAACAAAGGCTACTATACAAAATATTAATTTCATTTTAATCATTTATTTTTACTTCATAATGCTAATCTAAATATGATGTATACAACAAATTCGAATACTTTTGTGAAGCTATTTTTTGCACTTTTTTAAAAAAAAGCTAAATTAGTTTAACTAAATTATTTTTGTTACATTTTTAAAAATGTGATATAAAATTTAAAGACTGTCTGGACTACATAATAAATTTATTTATTTATTTTTTTCACAAAATCTATTATAAAATGATGTCTGTTTTCATAATACATTAAATTCGTATACTTATGAGAGACACTGTATATCATTATTTGGTAATGAATATTGTGCATTTAAGTGATTTTCTGGAAGGGACCTAGTATGAGAGCTATGACTAAATATGGACCGATCGTAAAACAATTTTATAGTTTAATTTATGTATATAAGAGCAATATTTTTGCTAAATGTATGGATATCAACATTTTGTAATGAGTTATGTGCGTTTAAGTGATTTTCGGGAGGGAACCTTGTATGGGAGCTATGACCAAAGTTGGACCGATCATGAAAAAATGTTCAAATAACATTTCTGTGTACAAAAATAGTATTTATGCCAAATTTTTTATGGGTATCACTATTTGATAATGAGTTATGTGCCTTTAAGTGTTTTTCTGAAAGGAACCTTGTATGGGAGCTATGATAAGTTATGGACCGATAGAAAAACAAATCCACAGTAATATTTCTCTGTATATGAGCAATACTTGTATTTTTATGAATATCTTAATTTTGTAATGAGTTATGTGCGTTTAAGTGATTTTCGGGAGGGGACCTTGTATGGAAGCTATGACCAATTATGGACTGCTCGGAGAAAAATTTCACAGTAATATTTCTGTGCATATGAGTAATACTAGTTCCAAATTTTATATGGATATCTTAATTTAGTAGTGAGTTATGCGCGTTTAAGTGATTTTCGGGAGGGGACCTTGTATGGGAGCTATGACCAATTATGGACCGATCAGAAAAAACTTTCACAGTAAAATTTCTTTGCGTATGAGTAGTGTTTATAAAAAACCGAGTTTTGGAAAAAACGGTTTTTCGGTTAACCGAAAATTGACCATTTCTAGAAAACCGGTTTGTCGGTTAACCGAGTATAAAAAAACCGGTTAAACCGGTTAACCGAAATGTTTGGAAATCATTAAAATATTATAATATTTAGTTGAAAAAGTCATTATTATGAATTACTTAATAAGATATTTGCACTTTTTAGTATAGATATGCACATTAATATATCATAAGAAAACAAACTTATATAGATCTGAAGATATTATTGATTCGTTAGGTATATGGAAGTTGCCATAGGAGGGATAAATTGACCTTTGAATATATAATCCATCTATATCAATAGCAAACATTATGTCCAGAACTATCAAGGCTCGCGACGATTTATCGGGAACAGAAGTAGACGACGACTGTCTCGACATAGACAGTGACCTCCCTTCGCTCGCTACGCCTGTGGTTGTTCAAATTACTGTGAATGACGCTTAGGAATATTGACAGGTGTCATTCTGACTTCCTGTCAATCAACCTAAGCGCCATTACAGTTTGTGAAAAACCCCAGCAGCATAAGTTTTCGGACGGCAACAACAATCCTTATGTTTCGATAAATAAAGTCCGTTTTGAGAACGTTTGTGAAACTTCTCGATTTTTATTATACTCATATTATACATATGCACAAACGGAAAATAATGTTTAGAATTATCTATCCAAAATTTTTAAAAACCACAATAAAAAATCAGAGAAAACATACAATTTTGTACCAAAAATTTGATTTTTTTTGGAACCGGTTAACCGAGACTTAAAACCCGGATAACCCGGTTAACCGAAAACCAATGTTTTAAAAAAACCGGTTTGCGAAAAACCGAAATATGCAATAAAACCGGTTTTTCGGTTATCCGGTTAACCGGTTTATAAACACTACGTATGAGCAATACTTATACCAAATTTTATATGGGTATCTTAAATTAGT